TATTAAGGGATGGAGCTCTCATTTGGCTAAATTCTTGGATGCAATTAATTATTGGACTAATTCTGGAAACAAGAAGCCAAAGAAGTTCAATGTTACAGTTATCAGAGACGAGACCGCGCCACAACAAACGAAGGAAACCAGAGGGGATTGTGGTCCTCTCGTATGCATGTGCTTGGAGCGTTTGACGACAGGAAGTACACAGTTTCTACCTCCAACCGATAGAGATAGAGGTGCAGTAGGCTTGTGGTTTCGGCATTTTATGGCTAGAACGATATATGCGAGACGCTGCCTACCTGCATCCGCGTTATGAAAGTGTCCATAAACAATTTGTAAGTCAAATGCAAGTGTTGTTAAACATATATACTCTTTTTGGTTTGAAAATGTTTGGTTAAGTAGCTAGAATTCAATAATTTGATGTTTGTAGGTTTTAGATGTGTAAAAAGTGTTGTTGATTCAATGTTTGGTTTCTGCAGGTTAATCCTGAAGTGAGCTGCGTGAAATGGATGTATGGGTGCAAAAGTTGATTCAATAATTGATGAGGAAATAATTCTTATTATTATTTTTTGATTGTTTAATTGATTTGTAAAATATGATTTGTAAATGTTGATTTGTTTAATTGATGTGTACATAATTATTATTTGTGCTTGTTTAATTGATTGAAATGTAATAGTTGATTTGTTGATTTCAATCTGCATTATGTTGAATGTAAAATAGACTATCGCAACGCGGAAATGACTATCGCAACTAGAGAATCGCAATGCGAAATGAAAATCGCAACGAGAGAATCGCAATGCGAAAATGAAAATCGCAACGTGAAACTAAATTCGCGTTGCGATTTTTATTTTCGCATTGCGATTCTCTCGTTGCGATTTTCATTTCGCATTGCGATTCTCTCGTTGCGATAGTCATTTCCGCGTTGCGATAGTCAATTCCGCGTTGCGATAGTCATTTCCGTGTTGCGATAGTCATATTCGCATTGCGATTTCCGCGTTGCGATAGTCAAATGAATGTCTAATAAGTGATAACAACTGAACATATCATAGCAATGTTCAAACTCAAGTTACTAATACATGCCTAACTGAAAATGTTAAAAGTTCACACATAATATACACATAATACAACGTTTGCATTTAAAAATCACCTAAGTTAACAGTCCCAAAAGGTGAAGCCGGTTGTGATTAGGATTTTGATGAGGATCCATATTTTGGTAGAGGAAAAGATGATTGTGATGGAACTGGTGATCCACATGTCAACCTTGTATGACCACTTTCCTTGCACCGACTACATGTCGATCTCTTCTTCTCTTCACCCTTAGACGGTATACGATCGTGACTTTTTAGTCGACCAGGTAGCCTTCTGTCCATGGCTGGTGGCAAAACTGTTTGTAAGTCATCTGGTATGTCCCACTCAGAAGGATGTGGAATAGGGTAGACAATCTCGACATAAGTCTGGCGATTCTCGACATAAATCTCGTTGCGATAGTCAGAATCTCGTTGCGACAGTCAGATTCGCGTTGCGATAGTCAGATTCGCGTTGCGATTTACGTATAGTTGGTCATTTTGGTCAATCCAAAAAAAATTGATTAAAATCGTATATTATAAGACATTTTTTGTCACTGAAATTATTTTCTCTTTTTTATAAAACTTTAACTTTTTCGGTTTATGGTGGGATGACATCATCATCAGAAGAGTGTCAGTAATCCGTTTGTAAATCATTGAACTTTGATATATTGTATTTGATTTATGATTAACGGAACTCCAAATTGATTTAAATGTTTTATGATCTTAACTTCAATTTGATTTGTTATTGAGACGTTTGATTGAAATTTTTTTAATTGATTTTAATTTTTTTATCACTTAAATAACTTAACGTAATATCAACAATCTTCTAAATTATTTAAGTCAGGTTTAGGTTGTTACATGGTATGTACGACTCTCTTCGACCTTTTTTGTAACGGTTTATTTTTCGTTTAACTCGTGCTTGTGTCAATTTTTTATTTTAACCACTTTGGGGCACTCTGTTGTTGATTGTTCTCACCTCTTTGCTCACGTACGTGGATTTTTAGTTTAATGAAATTTCTTTTGATAAAAAAAAATATCACATATCCATATAGTTGAATATTTTTTACGTGCCATTGTGGTCTTAAAATCTTAACCCTTAAGCGCAAAATCAAGCTAAGAGGGAAAAACAGGTCTGTCTATCTACGAGTGTAATATGTGATTTGTTATAGGGTCTCCAGATTTTGAGACCCGTCATTTTGAAAAAAATATTATGATTTTATTTCTAAAAGCGTTCGAAAGATGGTATTTTTTAAATAAAATATCATGATTATAAAGTTATTTTTATAACATTGTCTTAGTTTCATATGTTTGAGTTTTATTTTATTTTATAAGAAACAATAGTAATATCATAAATTTTAATATTTTATAATTTTATTTTATTATAAAATATTTTAAAGACCTTATTTTAAAAAGTAACACAAGATCACGGGTCTGGAAAGAAGTAGAAGAAAAAACAGTTGAATAAGTGAAAAGAAAATCAGTCCATTGAGGTAAAAAAAAGCATAATAACAATCACCACTCACCATTTTTAAGCCATAACATGCTAGAGCCCATTGAGTTGAACAGATTTTAAGACAACAGATAAATCAAGCTGGAAAAAAATTGATAAGAATGATTAAACATGGATTTAAATTTCAGTTGCGTAAAGTTTTCGGTTGTATTTATAATTTCGACAATATTATATGTTATTGCAGTCATTATGGGTATTACACTCTTAGCAAAAACTACACAGTAAACTAAGGGTGCTTAGTGAGTTGAATAACTCGAACTCGACTTGGTCAAAACTCGACTCGGGTTGACCTGATTCGAAATCGAGCTTGACTAGAGATCTTAACTAGTTGAGTCGAGCAAAGTTCAACTCGACTCGATAAATTCGCAAACAATTCGTTAATTTTTTTTATAATTTTTTACTAATTATCTTAAAAATTACTTCATTTTTAAAAAAAATACTAATTTACTAACAGACAATAAAAAAGATGATAAATTACTAATTTATTAATTTTCTAATAAAAATTAAAAATATTAAATTATTAATTAATAAATTTTATTTACTACACCCAAAATCAAACTCTAATTATTATTTTAATGTATTTGTGGATTGTTGATTTGAAGTTTAAATTTTAAAATTGCTTCATACACACTTTTGATAATTTATTATTAAACTTATTAATTTATGTTTGTATTAAGTTCTATATAGTATTAGTAGATTTTACTTATAGTTAAAAAATCAAGATAAAAATTTCGGTAAGTTTAACTAACAACGAGAGGAACAACGAGCATAACAAGCAATGAGTCGAGCAATAAGTTTTTAACACGAGCACGAATTGAGCAAAATTTTAACGAGTTTAAAACAACGAGTCGAGTCGAACAATAAATTATTTTTTTAACAAACATGAGTTGAGCATTGTATAACTCACGATCGACTCACTCAATAAATAATGTTATAGTAAATCCCATTGCGTATAAGTATAAACCTATAGACGTGGTCCAATAAGGTGTGGATAGATACCATCGCACTCAAACCATCTTTCATCGAATCTAAAATTGTCTGTCAATATGTCGTTCTTACACACCCGAACAGGTATGCAAAGAAGATTAAACTTCATATTTATATGTGACCGATTTTCAAACGCCTTCTTTCGGTGCTGCTGTGACCTGTGATAGAAGCAAAGAATTTATTCTCTTAGCACTACTGCCTCCTTGTTATGTTAATCATAACGCCTATTACCTTTATTTCATTGGTTTCACAAGCTCATCTGTTGAATATCGATGTTCTTTTCATATTCTGAATAGAATGGGTGGGAAGTTGATAAGGGCGGTTGTTTTGTCTGAAATTTCAAATTTTAATATAATTTAAGTATTTTTTATGATTTTTATTAAAAATTTATTTTCATCTCTTAAAATTTTATAAATTTATTTATAACATAAAATTCTACATCCTTTCATGATTCTAAATATCATTGATCCTTCTAGTCGTCAAGGACGGAGTTCTGTTGAGGCCCAAAGGGGCTCGACCCTGTAAAAATTTTATATATTCAATAAATTTTGGTCTAATAGTATTTTAAATCATGTAAAAATAAGTATTCAAATTAAAAAATACAAGAATTTTTAAATATTTAATTAAATAGGGTCGAACTAAGGAAAAATAATCTCATATTTTCAATTTTTTAGGGTCTAATAACAATTAGGTCATTATAAGTTTAAATATTATATAAATTAAGTATTATTTTCTAAATTTTAAATTTAAATACGTAATAAATTATTATATATATATTTTTTAAAAAATATAATATTTTGATCTCTACCGATATTTAATCTTAGCTTCATCGGTCATTGTTTTCCTTTCTGACAAACTAAGGAATCAAAATCCAACTCAAGCAACGCCTGTTTGGTATACTTTTAGAATGTCATGAGGTGGAAAAATACAACTTTTCGTTTCATTTCAGCTTTCCTCTCGACTGCACCAGATATAACCTAATCAAAGTAAGCCAATACTCTAGAAAAAGTAAGAGTAACCCTTAAAAAATGTGGGTAAATTACAAACTTCATCATTAAACTTTATTATATCTCCTATTTTTCTCACTAAACGTTAAAAAATTTCAATTTTTAAACTTAATATATTGAGTTTTTTTGTCATGTTGCCGTTAAATAGTTAACGGTATTAAAATAATGTCATTTTCAAAAATAAAATTTTTACCAAAATGAAGTCGTTTTGCATTTATATAAAAGTCCATTTATACCATCGTTAATGAGAAAACGACTTAGTAACAAAAAAAAACCCAATATACTAAGTTTATTGAGGATAAAATAGGAGAGATAATAAAGTCCAAATACTAAATTTGTAATTTACCCTAAAAATTTATAGGATTTTCATTCTACGGTCACACTTAAAAATGTGTATAAATTGAAGGGTTGATAGCAGAGTTTCAGCACCTAACCAGCTAATTATCTGTTCATTCCAAAATGGCAAAGTCAGAATTTGTACAAGAGAATCAGCCCCCAGCAGGTTCCAAAACATCCAATTCTACTGATACTGCTTCTTCTTTTTTATGATAAATGGAGATTTGAGAACTTATTGTTCTTATTTTTGTTGGTTTTGATGAAATTAGGGTATCCCACGAGTTCTGATCCACCTGCAGCTCAGAAGTGCTTCCCTCGTTCAAAGAAGAAAGGAGATAGGGGCTTCATTGAAGGATGGTAAGAGGACGCTATTCATATATAAATCAGTTTTGTTGGTAAATATTCATGCAGAATTCAACGGTAGTTCTGCTGTGCAACTAGGAAATTTAATACTAATTTGATGCGGTTTTAACTTAAAATGTTATAATATCTATTCTAAAATGTTATATAATTGGTAATAATTTCGATTACAACTAAGAATATTATATGAGTTTTTTGGCGATAACTTATGAATTATTAATTCAGTCATGTCACTCACTAATCGATTAAGTAATATTATGTTTTGTTGGAGATGTAAGGGTCGGTATATCTAAAATATGATAGTATGGCAGCTTGTGTGATATTAGACGAGGCGAGACTTAGTTGCATTCATGACATTCTCGTGTTAATTTTGGGGTATGTCAGCCCTAGTTTGAGAGATGATCAGCAGAATGTTAAGGCGGTAATAGTCGCTTTAGTAAGGGAAATTTTTGAAATTGTATTTGCGCTTTACTTGTTTGATTTAGGTATGAATTAATCTTGTATTGATTCCTTTAAGATAATTTTATATCCAACATCTGTGAATTCTTAATAAGATGTTTGCTGTGCGAAAAGAAATATATTTTATTTTATCATAATACTTCAATCTAATTATTTTGACTTATAACTACAGCTTGTTCGCGCTTTGTTGCTGTTGGCTCTGCGAAGCTTGCTTCTAAACGATGCTTTGAGGAACCGATCCTATGTTTGGTTGAATACGAGGGATAACACTTAATTGGTTATGATTGTTGCTCATATTTTGTAATAAAGTAGACAAGTTAGATGTTAATAAAGAATATTCAGTGTGTTCATCGTGTTTATCTTATAAAGGTTTTTCTTTCATTTATAAATATTTACTCTTTTTTATTGTTTTCTTTAACTTTTAATTATTTACATTTTAATTTCTTTATATTTAACTTTTATCATTTAATGTCAACCGAATCTATGATGTAATATAAAGGTCTTTCATGGAAGATAAGAATGTTGTGATCACTATTTTTCAATTAAAACTCAAAATATAAAAATCGGGGCCCAACCTAAACATAACACCCAAAATAGACCCTAAATCGGGCCTCAAACCCAAATCCCAAAATATAACCCAACCTAATGTAATAGCTGAATTTTGCCAGGGTTAACAACCCTGGCAGAGCATTGATACCTAGGGATGTATTCGGTTCGGTTCGGTTCATTTTTTTACCAAAAATTGAACCGATCCGAAATAAACAGTTTTTTAAAATTTAAATCGAAATCGAATGGTTAAAAATCCGAAAAAACAAAATCGGTTTTTTCGGTTCGGTTTTTTTAACGGTTCGGATTTTTTGATTCGATTTGGTTTTCTTTTTTTCAAAAAAAAAATCAATTGAAACTATAAATTTTCTTTAAAAAAATTGCCTATTCGGTTCAATATGAAACAAATGGGTTATATATGAAAAACCCGAACTGAATCGAATCAAAATAATTAAGACTTTAAATTGAACCGAAAACCGAACCGTATAGTACCAAACCAAATCGAATCGTTTTACTCGGTTCGTATCGATTTTTCGATTTTCTCGATTTCGTTACTCATCCCTATTGGCACCTCGCCACATGCCAGTAGCACCACAGCAAGCTAACAACCGTACGTGGTCCCAGCAGCTCCGTCCTTGCCACGACAACACCGAGCTCACATTCCAGCACCAATGGTTCCCAGCCTTTGCATGAGCAGTTTGCCCGTAGAGAATGAACAGAGGTCTTTGCAACACCAACAAATCAACAACCACCAAGGTGCAACACAAGAGGACAAAGAAAATTAGATAGGATTTATTATTTGCTAATTGTAATTTTGGGGTTATATAAAATCCCCATGAACAATTTGTGTGGGGGAGGAAAAAAATGAATGTAACAGGGGGGTCTTACCCCTTTTCTTTCAAAGCAATACAAAGAGAAAAAAAAACAAGAGATGAGCAAGATACAAGAGGCTATTCTTCCCAATTAAAACCTCTGACCTTTTTTCTTTGAGTTGTAATAGTGGTTTCTCCTCCCCTGATTCGAAGAGGCCAACATTGTAACAGGAGTTCTTTTTTTCTTTTCCACATTCGAAATAGAGGAAGCATTGTAAAGAGCTCCCGTTTTCCTATTCCTCTGAAAAAAAGTGTAACACAGAGTTATTTTCCGATTCAAAAGTATAGAAATCCAAAGAGAATATCACTGTAAGGTCTCTTTACCTTCATTTTCATTTTTTAAGAACCTTTTTGCCTTTCTTATGTGCTCGTAAAAACAAAGTAAAATAGGAAATGAGTAAGAGTTTTTTTCGGTTACCTTGTTCGTCGGTTCTCGTCGGAGTGAAGGAGTGTCGTCATCGTCAAAGCGAGGAATCTAAGGGGTCAGAAACCTATTCGGCCGTTTAGGGTATTTGTATGTCGTTCTAGGCTTGTTTTTGGTGGTCAGAGTGAGGCAAGGCCAAGTTACGATCGAGGGTCATTGGTTGGAGGGGAGAACGACCACAAAAGAGGTGGCCAACGGCAAAGGCTCACATATTTGGGGTTTTTTCTGTTGAGAGAAGAACGATTAGAGGAAAAAGAATAGGCATTGGGTCCTTTAGGGTTGTCATTCGGCCTTCTTTGATCATTTTGGGCATCGATCGGAGAAAGGAGTGGCCACCAGAACGTGGTGGCCAGCGTGGGTGTTATCCATGGAGATTTGACCAAACTGACATTATTTAACCGAATATTTACCTTTTTAGCACCGTTCGATATATATTTCCCGAAGTGGAACCCTTTCGGCTGAGCTGGCAAAAGGCGCATCCCCGAGGACGCGCTTTACCCGGGTTTTCGCTAAGTTGGATGCCACGTGTGGAAGGCGCATCCCCGGGGACGCGCCTTCCATTAAATGCCATAAATACCCCCATCCGTTTTCCCTAACTACCTGTAACATCCGCAATACCGGGGTTAGTGACCAAATTGTAAAGTTTCAGAATTTGGTGACTAAAGTAGAAGAATGAAAGAATTCAATGATTATTTGAATATATATATATTGAAGGTTATTTGGTATTTATTAAAGGAAATTAAGGGTATTATGGTCATTTGACCAGAAAGATTTTTTTTATAATTTTTTTAAAGGGTAATAAGCACGGAGGAAGAAGAGTCCAGAGCATTCTTCAGTCTTCTTCCTCCTCTCAACCGGGAAGCTTGGTATAAGGTAAGTGGGTCTTTAGTTGGTTAATTCTTTCGTTTTAAAGCTTGTTTTGATTCTTGGGATATTAAGAAAGATTAAGGAAAGCTTTAAGTGGCTTAAACCTCAAAGATTAACAAGTTATGAGAAATTAAGAAAAATGAGTTTTAAGTGAATTTTTGATATGGAAGGAGTTAATAGATTGTGAAGTTGAATTTGACTTGTCAAGGATTAAATTAAGAGATATGAAGTGATAGAATGGGAATTAGAACACATTGAAAATTTGGTATGATTTTTGAATCTTATATGGAAGATAGAATTTTGAGTTTAAAGAAGTGATTATGGAGTAGAAATGAGTTTAAGTATGTATGAAAGTTAGGAATATTAAAGGGAATGAAGTATGATGTGTTGAGCTGAAAATGAAGGATTTTCGAGCTCAAAATATGATTTCTGGGCAAGGGGAATCGGTACCCATTCAAGGGGAACCGATACCCCTTCAAACGAACAAGAATTTCCAGTATGTCATGGGGGAACCGATACCCCCATAGGGGGGAACCGATTCCCCCTAAAGGAAAATTGGGAATATGGGTTTAATAAGTTAGTTTAAGTTGCTAGTATCCAATTACAAGGTGTAGGTACCTAATGATGGTCTCGAAATGTACAATTATGTAGATTCTACGCATAAAGCAATTCCGGAACGTTTGGCAAGTAAGATCGATCAAGGGAAAGATAAGAGATTGGAATTGGCTAGTGAGGCCAGGTGAGTGCATATTAGTTAGTTTATGGTGCTAAATGGAAACAAGACTTGCGACAAGTCTATTTCCTATGTTAGAATGCATGAATATATGATTATACGTATATGAATGACATGAATTGTATGTATGCATGAATATGTGTTGACATGCTTTTGAATGTAATGTTATGAGAAGTATGTGCTATAATGTATATATATACATATGTGAAACTGAACTATGTGACTGCATGAGAAAGATATGAGCCATATGACATGATATAGGTGAACATGAGAAAGCAAAGTATGAGATATAAACTATGTGATCATAGTAAAATATAATTATATTATTATATGATAAGTGAAATAAGCTGGATAATATTGATCTATAGGATGAAGTGAAAATAGTACACTAACTAGGGGATTTGAACATAAATGATAAGATGAACGTATAAGATAAGCTAGATGGGAAAGATTCATAGGTTTAAATAAAACTATAACACATGGGTTGAATGATAGAAATTTGTGAAGTTATATGAGAAGATTATAAGAGTGATATGAAATTGAATTAAGTAACAGATTAGATTATATATATAGAAATAATAGAAGTGAGATATGTTTATAAGTCTGCCCTAGATGAATACGAAATATAAGAGTGCTATATGATTTATATTAGGATAATCTTGAGGATATAGATATATATAGATAGATATGAAATGAAATGAAATGAGTTATATGAATACACAATTATGTGATGAAATAGTGAATTACAAGTTTATGTGAATATTTGAAATGAAATAAATGATAACGCCCATGTTATGTGTCATGAGAGCTAGGGGTATAGTTGGCATGCCAAGAGTCGAGGGTCTATTCGGTTCTTTAGGACATATGTATATTCTTTGGAACATATGTGTGAAGTCTCGAAAGACACATACTTGATCCCTAGCATATGTATATGATTCTTAAGGAATTCTACGTGGTCCTTATGGAAATCATTATATGGCACTACGGTGCAATTCTACGGGCACTTCGGTGCAATTCTACGGGCACTTCGGTGCAATTCTACGGGGCACTTCGGTGCATTTATACGAGCTGTGGTGACAGCATAGTGCACAACCTCTATAGACTCACATATCGATAGTTCTCACATATATACATGGGCTAATCCAGAAATATGAACAAATATAAGTTAGTGGTATGCTAAATGCTATAGAAATGATATGATGTTGTGTGTGTATAGTGTTTGATTGAAATAGTATGTGATTATATGATAAACTGTTAATGATGAACTATGTGTATGCATGTATTTACTGCAATTAATCTGATATGATTTTATATGATATGAAAAATGCATGAAGTTGCTGTAACATGATAGAACAGAACATGCATGTATCAATATAGGTTTTAAAGTGCATTAAGTTGTTATGCCTCACTAAGTCTTCGACTTAGCATGTGATTGTTTCACACGTAGGTTCCGAGAAGAGTAAGGAGTGATGCGGAGCAAGACAGGTCAGTTTTCCTTACCAAAAGATCAGATCAGAAATATTTGATAAAGTATGTTTTTGGTTATGTATAAAGTGTTGGCATGTAATAAGTCATTAAGTACGAGCACTCTGATAAAGTCTGTATTTTGTTTTAAATAAAGTTTTAAATTTCCCGGGATTTTTCTTAAGAGTCAAGGTTTGAAAAGTCAAATGTGACACTTCGGACTCGTATCCGGGTCGGATACGGGTTGGGGGTGTTACATTTAATGGTATCAGAGCTATGGTTTAGCCGATTCTCGGCATAAACCGAAGTCCAAAGTGTCATAAAAGGTGTACATGCCAACATAGTTTGAAAAATTTCTGATCTGATAGTGTAAGGAATATGTTGTCTTGCTAATAAAATAAGAATAGTTTAATACAGTAGAAATCCGATCGTGAGAATTTCG